AGGGTCTGCGCCCCTGCACCAGAGCACATTAAGTGGCCCAGAAGTCCTCACCAACTACAGAAACATCTCAATATTTGACTGAAATATTTTATCCTTCATCCCAATGTTAGAGTACATGTGTATTTCATGTATAGACATAGCCCCAAACCAAAATAGTTTCATTGACTAAATTTATCCTTGAGTGTGCAATTAAATAACACTCTTTCTATAAAAGGAAATATTTTCTCTGAATATTTTCCATCAAGTGTTTTTCACAACAGTCCTGGAGGAACATAGTGGACCTTTCAGTGATATGCAACTTGCTGGCCCCTGGGGTTGCTGGCTGGGGCAGTGCCTCTGAGTGCTGTTTGCAGGCTCAAGAGAGAATCTGAAAGGAAGACAGCCAAGACAAGGAGTAAGAGACCAAGTGGGGATGGAAAGAGAAGGAAGAAGAATGTATTTCCATAGAAGTGATGCATGGATGCCCAAATTTTTACTCTTCATCCAAATTTTGTATTGTACCACACACACACACACACACACACACACACACACGATACAATATTTAAATTATGTATTGAACTCAAGTTTAGCTTGAGAACAGTACTATCTATTTAATCAACTTTTCTTCCTGCCCCATGACCACCAACAGAAGAGGTCATCTGACCTACTTTGGCTCTTAAAATTAAATGAGCTCTAAAAACGTCAGGTATGTTTTCTGTCGGCAGCAACAGCAGACATATACGTTAATATTTTCATGTCTTGCATAAAATTCGGTGCTATGATTTTGTTTATCTCTAAGGAAATTTCAAAATGTCAGATAGAAATAAAAATGGAATCATCACAAATTTTCCCAGTAAACTGAAAATATAGAATAAGTCTTAGAATATGCAAATGGATCAAAATGTGCTTTTTCATTCCTAGGAATGAGTTGGTGCTACAAATGCCTTATGACAATTGAGGATTTACAATCACATTAGTTTGTATTTCTTTCACAAACCAAACTGAATTAAGTGCAGACAGCATTCATGGAATGTATCTGTGCCCCTCCCTGGGGTATGAGGTGATGAGGGACCCTGCCCTCAGAAAGCAGATTTTCTAGCTAGGGAAGACTAGACTTGCATCTGTTGTAAAACACCAGAATATCGGGTACAAAGTGTCAGAGTCAAGACGATCAGCACCTAGAACTTAGGCCAGGAAGGAATGGGTCAGCAGCATTTGCAGAAGTCGGAGAAGGCTTTACAGAAAAGTCAGGGTTTGAGTGGAGTGCTGATTTAAGATGGACAGGAAGAGGAGGGGAGTGGGCACTAGGCAAGAGAAACAATGTAAGGCAAACCAGCAGATGTGAGAAATAAAGGCCCACCTGGAGTAAAGGGTTTGTGTTTGGTGATAGAGAAAGACAGATCAGCTCAGACAGATGGGACAAGGTTATGAGAGAACCTGGAGGCTCCGGAGAAGAAAGTTAGAGTGGATTCTGAAGTGTAGACCAAGGGAGCCATTGCGTGCTCGTGAGCAGAGCTGTGACATAATATTTAAGAGAACGTTATGATCCTTGTGCTTTGAAAGGTAGTGCTAATGAATCTATTGGCCATTCTTTGGTTCTTTTTTCCTTTGGATACTCTAGTTTTCTCCTCCTTTCCTGTTTACTGCTCATGTCTGCTTAAACACGGCATAGTCACAGATCCATCCCTCTTGTAATTCCAGTTTCTGATGGCTGTATGAGGGGAGAAACAAGGGTGGGGTGGAACATTCACCTGGGATGGGGGACCACCTGGTGCTAGAGGACCCTGGAGAGACCAGGGAAGCAGGAACCATGTGGCCCCAAGCGCTCTGGCCTTTATTGCACTCAGCAAGGTATAGTTTTCCTGGTGTGACACTAAGCTGCCTCTGCCGACCGGGTGAGAAGGATTCACGGGCGAGGGTGCAGGTGACAATGAGCTGGCCTCACGAATGTGCGTTGGTGGAGTGCCAGTGTAGACAGATCCCTGAGCGGCAGCCTGGTCACATCAGTCCACAGGACGCCTTTTACGTCCTAATTATCCATTACTCTCTGACTTTAAGCCACCCAACTGTCTGACTGAAGATATATTTCAGGCCAAGCCTCCAAGAAAGATGTTCCTTCCATGTTATGATTTTCTCTCCTATAATTCTACACAATTAAAATATCTATGCCTCCCCCTTTTTGTAGCTTTTTAAAAGGGGGAATATAATGAGAAGGAAAGTAACCATTGTAATTTTGGGGTGTCTCCAAACCCATTCATTATTTTTGGAAAAGTAAAATACATTTAACCTGATGGAATATTTATAAAAATTGGAAGCTCATTGTCAACTAAATCTCATTTATTTAATCTAGTATTAGACTGCCTTTTTTTTTTTAACCAGATGGAAAACATTAGCAGTAATAGTGAACAAACATATCCAGGCTCCCAGAGGTCATTTTTAACCACCATTAACAATCTGGTTTTTACAGATTAGTAATATACAAAAGGCAGCGGTCCAGACATTCAAAAGGCAGCTGAAGCGTCTGTGCTCCTTATTTACCTAACATTTAACCATTTTTAAAAACCCTTTGTAAATGAAACATTCTAATCTAAGCTCCAAATTGGCAGATTTTGCCCAGAAGTTACAGCAAAATATCTCTTTGAAATAGACACTGATGTAAAATATTAATAAAACCTCCGCAATGCTGATGAAAAGAAAAGCTTATTATTAATGTCATCAGTAGATTTGCCTGTGGTTAATATAGTTTCCATTTACTAGGCATTTGTTTAATGGTTTCATACCTATGTAAACCTCCTAATTGTGAAGTGGAAAGGAAATGCACTTTAACATATCATACTTTAATTTTTAAATTTAATTATCTAATTGAAATGTAATATAAGGCAAACAGCACACCAAATACACTAATGAATCAGAAAAAAATCTGATCTATAATGCGATAAGCACATGGTTTCTAGAGTTGCCTATTCAGAAACAAAATATGTCACTTAAATCAAGTTTTGAGTGGTCGGGAAAACTGTAGAATGATAAAATCTCATTATGCCCTGTAAATGGATACACAAATATGTGCATCCTTGTTTCTTCTCTTGTTCAGACTCAATACTGTCTGTGAGCCTGAAAGATCTACACACCTAACCTGTTAACTGAGGCTAGAGCAAACATAGGCACAACTGCACATAATATGCACTTATCTTCATTTCAAAATACCACTATTCTTGGTTTACATATTTATGATTTGTTATCAACCTGCATGTGACTGCTCTTTAAGATAGTATTTTATAGGAATTATATTAAGGTCTATATTTAGAATACTTCACAAATATTTTCTCATTATTTTATTATGTGGAGAAGAACGCCAAGGTATTAAATGTTTAAAAGTCTATAGAGAGAGGTCATATCCAAGATGAGAGTGGGAATGAGCTTGTGCAAATATGATCTAGATAGTAGAGAAAATGCCTGACATTAAAGACTTCATGGATGCCAAAGATCTTATCGTCCTAATGATGGGGAGCAGGGAAGCACCATAACTATGCACATGTGCAGGGATATTTGCATATATTATATTTGCATATATGCATTTAAATACACACGTATGCACACACGTACTCCCAAAGGTCATCAGGTGGAATACAGAATCGCCATTTATGATAGCATGTTAAGGATTTTCCTGTCCGTCCTTGATACTGTAGGCCGGTGCTTTCGGGAGAAATTCAGTCTCCCTCTTTGCAGGAATTTTTACCTTGACGGTGAAGTCTCCCAGTATGCCTACAAGTGCCCAGGGCCATTCCATTCCATTTCTCGCTAAGGAAGGAAGATGAATAAATAGTGAGGAGAGAATTGAAATGATGCATTCTGGCCTGTGCTATAATTTAGAATTTACAACCTCCTGGGGTTCTTTTCAATGACAACCAAAACCACTTTATTGAATACCTATTATGTGTGCAGCACCGTGCTAGGCACTGGCCATGCAGGAAAGACAGTGCCCCTACCTTCAAGTAGCATGCCACCTAGTGAGTGCAGAAGGCAAGTAAGCAAACGTTGCCAGAGCTAACCTGGGAGTGGGAGAGGAGGAAGGAGGAATGAATGAAACCTCAGAGCACTTTAGTCTGTACTGTATCTCTTTCGATGGAAATGGAAAGCTTATTACATTATGTGGGTAGTTGCAGAGAGCGGATTGAAATTTGAAAACGAAAAAATTCTGGTTAGCTGAATGATTGGATTTTTTGGATTCATTTATGTTTTCTGGATTATGTAGACTCAATTTATGAGTGTAAATAAATACATTTCTTTAGCTTGCCATCATTCTAGTAAGCATTTATAAGCAAAACAGGTAAGAAAAACAATCTAACCTGTATCTACAATGGAGTTTTTATTGGTTAAATCCAAGTATAATAGTTAAGAAACTTCTCAGCAAGCATGTGAATATTACAAAGATAACTATTTCACAGCTCTGTTTTATGCCGATTTAGAAAAACTGTCAGTTATTAGAAAACTGCTCCAGGCTTATCAATTCTCTCCCAGGGACAAATAAAATATCCTCCCGTTTCTTTTACATTGCTCCAATTTTGGCAGCCCACGATGGCAAGAGGCCTCTGCTTCTGCAGTCTTGAGGGCCTTCCAACAGACGGAGCCTTCTTCACTTCTGAAAGGAGAGGGACTCTGATTGGACTCCCTCCAGAACTGTTGAGTGTTCAACCCGCTCTCTTGCCCGTTCTAGCAATTACCTTCACTGTAAAGGATGGGTACTGGTGGAGGCTGGCAGGGAGCTAACATCAGGGATCTGCTCCCACGGAGCTGCCATCACAGGCTGCATACACCATGCCCTCGTTTTCTCGAGCTCCCCGCCATGTTTCAGGGGAATTGGACATGAGCAAATGAGGACATTCGGTTCTGAGGACTTCCACTTTCAAGTTATATTAAATAATAAACTCTTTTGTAGATATTAAAAGAAAATGAAGAGAAAAACTTTCAGAAAATAGCCTACAGAAAACTAATATTTTTCTTCTCCTTTTTTTCAAAAGGTGAACACACCCAAGAAACAAATTCACCTCATTCACTCAAAAAGGATGTAGAAAATATGGGGAAAGGTAAAGAAAAGTTTTAGTTCTGTAGAACTTCGCTTAGCTTTAAAAGACTCAAGAGATAATAGGAGGGTACTTTTGTTCTATGCCATATTTTAAGCTTGACAAGCAACATATGAATAATATATGGACCATTGGGTGGATATAATTGAGATTAATGCATACATATCAATCAATACATGACACTGTAATATAATACTTTAAAATAATATATTACATTGATTTATATTCATGGATTTCTGCACAAAATCTATCCTATGTCTATGCAACACTTTTTAAACTGGTAAAATATTTCGTCTTATAATAATAAATTGCCATATATAACAGTTCTCTGGAGAGTTATTTGTAAAGATTAGTAAAATGACTATTCTTTTTTTCTTTATTAGAAGAACTTCAGAAGGTTTTATTTGAACAAATAGATTTACGGAGACGACTAGAACAAGAATTCCAAGTGTTAAAAGGAAATACATCTTTCCCAGTATTCAGTAAGAAATCACTTTCATTTCATTGCATTATGATATTTTATGACATTTCTATTATTGGGCTTAAGAATATGATTCTAAGTATTAAGTGACTATAAAGCACCATTCTGTCTTCCTGTGGTCTCTGTCTTAATATTTGGAAATTTTAGCCTGTTATTTATGCTTTGAATCAGCTCGCAGCTGACATTTCTTACAAGAACCTTTGGTATTTATTGTATTGGTATGTGTGTATCTGTATGTATATATTGTGTATATTTTAAATATATATGCAAATATACATTAAATATGTAGATGTATTTAAATATTCAGTTATATTTAGATTATATGTGTTTTAAATGAATAACAGGTATTTTAATTCTCTAAGGTAGGAAAAACAAATGAACAATTAATCTTTATTCTCAGATAATGCTAGCTGGAGAGCTGGTTGGTGCTTGAGATGTGTATAAACATGAAGATTTAAAATATAACAATTCATTGTATATACACATTTATTTTGTTAATTGAAATTAGTATAATTTTAGTAGTTTTGGATTTCCCATCCATATTTAATGTTAAAATTCCATTCCAACTTTGATGGCAGGAGATACTGTAGGGTAAAAACTATTGATTCTACTCCCAGAGCCCTGGAATTTCAGAAAGACTTTATGTAGGTGGCCAGATTTCTAAAATCCACCAGCCCTGGCCTGGGTCACATTTGGGCATAGACATCACAATAGTATTTCTTCAAGTTTTTTGGAGTTTCACTTAGTCGTATTCCTCTCTCCAAGAGAAAGGAAAGTGGAGAAGAAAATAGTATGCAAACATATTTAAATTATATAAATTTAATATTAATTTTTTTCTGGGACACCTTTTTCGAATGTCAGCTTGCCCCTTGTTTATTTATCTGGACATCACAAAATGCATGTTGGCAATTTCTGTGCTACAGCCATAGACCAGAATCTTGAATAAGATGGTTTAGTAATTGTGACAATTTTAATAATATGAGCATGAAGGTCTGCATTCACCAGGGCTTCTCCAATGTAATCGTCAGCACACCTGAAAAACGTGCCCTCTCAAGGTGATGTTTTTGAATAATACTAGGTTCCTAGTAACATTTCAAAGTGAGTTCCACCAGAAAGCTTAGCACAGTAAAACTGAAAGAGGACGCATGACAGAAGAGAGCTCTGACCACAAAGAGCAACAGGACCTGCCAAGTTTGTGATCTCTTAGTACCCACAGGGAGGTTTGAAGTTCAGTATTTTGAACTTAGAGAATGCCTGCTGAGGCTTGGAATAAGATCGAAGGGAGGCGGAAGGCTGGTAGCTTTTGATAGTGTATTAGGAACATCATGACGTTTGGACCTTTGAGAAAAAGAGAAACATATTCAAAATATTTTTGAAACCTTAAAAAAACAGATGCTTCCGAAGGATTCGGGGATCTCTAATTCCTCATAGTGTGTCTTAAGAAAGACTGCACCATTTCTTGCAGCCATGAGTAAACATGAAATGTTTAGTTTCCCCTCTAATCTGATGTTTATCTAATTGTTGCTGAGTTTGCAAATCCCTGCTTTTAGATCCAGCAGAGTGGGACCAAGTCCCATTGACTCACTCAAGTGCCCACCTACCTTCCATGAAGCCAGTGTAGCCAGAATTTGTCCCATGAATACATGCTAACTAATCATTTGAACACATTAATCATCATTGATACATTTTCCTGATTAACTGCTTTACCATATAATGTGTACATGTTTCTGTTTTTTTAATTGGGGTGTTACAGTACGACAGGTCAGCTATGATTGAGACCTGTGTCATTCAGCCTTTTGATCTGAATTAAAATGAATTCTGTGTGATTACCACATATGTGAAACACTTCAATTAAACAACAAAAAAATTTTCCTTTTTTTTAATCTGCATTGTGCTTCATTGACCAAGGAAGTGGTGTGTGTGTGTGCCCAAGTTTGAATAATGCGTGGTTTAGATACACCACAAAGAGGCCGTTAATTTCACACCAATGAAAATAGCAGGTGCACATTACGTGCTGGTTAACTGAATGGGAGAGGCTGTGAGGCTGGCAGACAGATTTAGGCTTATTCAGATGGAAGGGGAAAAACAGAACTTTGTGTAGCCACATCAGAAGGAAGCATAGAGGAATCCCAGCCAGAGCTTTGCAGGGCTTTTTACGAGGAGGTGGACAGAGGAGTGCAGTCACAATACCTAAAATCCAGTTCACTTAGAGCACTGGGGAACTTGGCAAAGCTACCACATGTGACAATTAGGAATCCAGGCTCAAAAACCAACCAGACCTGAGTTCACTTTGGGGCTCTGATACTTCCTGGTTGTAGGACCCTGGAAACTGTAACATGGCCCCAGATAATTCCAGTATCATAGGAGGATGAGAGGACTAAGTCAGAGGATCCACGTGAAGGGCTGCACACGCCCCTAGCACAGGATAAGCACTCCATCATGTCGGCTGTGGTGATGATGGGGATAACAAAGCAGGAAGGGGAGAGGACCTTTTAACATTGACCTCTAGAAAAGCACTTAAATTGGGTCCTAAGATGGGTCCAAATTTCTGAGTTTCTCATGGGCTGCTTGTGGTTCTGTGGGTTAATGAGGACCACAGGAATGAATACAGGTAAGGATGAAGATTAGAGGGAGGAAGTGGAGGAAGAGAAGGAAGGAAGAGGAGGCAGAGGAAAAAGAGAAAGTGGAAAGAAGAAGAAGAAGAAGAGGAGGATGAGGAGGATGAAGGAAGGACAAGGAAGAGGAGGAAGGAAGAGGAAAGAGGAAGGAGGGGAAAGCAAGTTTCTCGCGGGGTGGGGGACGGGGTGTAGAGAATGAGAGGAGGAGGAACAAGTGTGTCTCTCCACTTGCTAGGATGGAGGCTTCCCGAGCTGCTCTCTGTCCATACTCTGCAAGACCCTGATGGGGAAATACTGGGAGGACAGAAGCGAAACCAGGCAGGCATTTGGCATTAGGGCAGAAGCAGAGAAGTGTGGTGCTTAGCAGCGAAGGCTCCAGATTTGGTCACCGACTCCCCCACTGAGTAACCTTAGGCAAGTTACCTAAGCTCCTTTTCACCTGTAAAACAATGCTACTACTTACCTCAAAGGGTTGCGGTGAGTGACATGGATAAAGTGTTTAGCACAGTGACTGATACATGGTAATGTGAGTTGTCACTACCATATTCCATTTTAAAGTTTGATACTTACAGCCCTGCAGGGACTTTCTAGTAAACCAGCTGATATCAGAAGCCAGGACTTCTGGAGACTGACTGGGCTGTAGTTACAGAGGATGGACTGGGCAGTGAAACTTGGGTTCATACCAGACAACGCATTTAGTTGACAAACTGGGTAGGACCTGAGAAGAGAGGCAGGGAGGGCACTGTAAAGAAAAGTTGGGAGAAATGTAATCTAGAATTGGGTGGAGATAGGTGTGCCGAGGAAATGGATGAGGAGGAGCTTCGCCCTTATCAAGGTCACTTTGAGATGACAGTAGGAAAGCTGGTCAAATGTCCTGCAGTGACAGCCATGTTTAGTTGGACAGGAGTAAATGATTAGAGACCCTGCCATAGTGCACTACCATCCCAAACTCCCCCGCTAGTGACTGGCCCAATCATTTTTGCAGCTGCAAATCCCTAAGTCATTTTTGCCACCACATTGTGTCCACTTTCCCTAGTGAATCTGTGTCTTCCTCCTCCCCCTGCAACATCCTTCCTTGATTATAGCATTTGTCGCTTTGCTGTAGTTTGTCATTCATTTCACTCCCTTCCCACCAGCCATCAGCATGACTTCATAGCCTAGTCCTGAACCTGGGACCTGCTAAAGGGTTGCTGGATGAGGCTACGCGTAGAGAAGGCCTTCAGCCTCCTCCCTCCTGCCACGTGAGTGCAGCAGGTGCCCTGGGTCCTCACCTCCCTTCCCCGCTGCAGCCCTTACTGTCCACTACCATAGCCCAGTCTTCCCAAAACTCTGCTTTGGCTCCACGTCTTCCACTCAAGAAGCTATAGTGATTCCCTACTGCTGATCATATTGTATCTAATTTAACTCCTGACTGACTCTCAAAACCCTCCCTAATCAGCCCACCCTGCCTCTCCAGTCTTATTTCCACTTCTCGCCCTGTACAGCTCAGGTTCCCCAGCAGACTGCTCTCTCCCCTCGCTTTCCACCTTTGAGTGCTGGGTTTCTCTAGCCTGGGCTACCTCCCTTCGTCTAGGTAGTCCTCATCTTTTGGGGACACAGAACAAGTTCTAGCACCTCCAGGAAGCCTCCCCACTTTTGCAGTAGGCACCCTTTGCTGAAGTCCTACTTTGTCTATTTCTAGTTTCACTCCTCTTTGACTGTTTCACATGTCCTACTCCCCTCTACTCCACAGCCTTGAACATAGGTTCAGAAAAGGGCGTTCTTCTGTTGCTGCTCACACAGCACCTGGCATATTGTGGGCACCATGATTGATATAAATTTTGGCATCGTCTTCAAAGAGATTAAAACTGACAACAAAGGATGAGGTTGGATGACTGAAATCTGTTGTATAAAGGAGACGAATGAGGGCTCATGAGTTCAACCCTTGGATTTGTAGGTCTGGTGACAAATTCATGGCGCTTGAGAGAATTGAGTGGAAAGGCCAGTTGATTATGACACAGAAGACCTCATGACTGGGCTTTATGAAAAATTTAGGTAGTAAATGTTGACCCTGTCATCATTTTAGATTATTACAAAGAATTACTTTTCCAAGTTACAGTTAAAGTTACTTCATAATAAAACCAAACTACATTTCGTCTTTATCCCATGTTTCATTTGTGGCTGTTACTGGATTCCTTCTATCGTCAGTGGCCAATGTCTGGTCCCAGGAATGTAGGCTGGATACTTTTTATTGTTGTTTGGAAAACTCTTTGGCTTTTCAAACTGTGCATGTTAGCAGAGCACAGCCCTTGCCCTGTGTTGGCTGGCAGGCTGGGCTTCCGTGCTGTTCTCTCCTCCCTCCTTTTATACTATCGTTTTCCAAAAATAGTTGGGTTTTAAGTGATTTGCATTAAGAGAAATCGGCTTAATTCTTTTTTTCATCTCCAGGTAAATTGTGCCTTCATCACTCTTTAGAAGATAGCAAAAATTTTAGCTTTTTTGTTTTTCATTTGCCAATTAACCACCTTTAAAACTCAAAAAGTTATACATATGCTTGTTGTAGAATATCATAAATATGCCAAAATACAAAGGGAAGAAAACAAAAATCACCGATAATCTTGTCACCTAGAGATAACCAATGTTAACATTTTAGAGTTTCAGTCTTTTTAATGTATATTAAGTCCTTTTTTTAAAACAAAATTAAATATTATACACACCATTTTTTACCCTCCTTGTTTTCACTTAACATGAACCTCTTTGCATTAACTACACAGCAGTCGTAAATGCACTCTTAGGTTGGACATTAAAGTTTATCCAAGTTTTAGATGATGAGCATCATTGTAACTAAATCATTGCACATATCCATAATTATTTCCTTAGGATAAATTCCTAAAAGAATTGCTGTGTGAAAGAATATGAACTTTCTAAAGCTCTTGATACATCGTTTCAAGTTGCTTTCCAGAAAGACCATACTAATGATACTCCCATCCTTTGAACATCACATCTTTTCTTTTAATTTTTGCTAACTTACATGGAAAAAAATGGTACCTCATATTTCTTTTTCTTTCATTGCTAGGGATGTTATCACTTTTTATGCCTAACATCCATTTGTATGTTTTGTGAATGCTCATTATATTCTCTTCTCATGTGTCTTTTAATGTGTTTGTTTTCTTATTGATTTATGTGAACTCTTTATGTACTAAAATATTAATCCCTTGTCATATTGCAAATATACTTTTGTTTGTGTCCATTACATTTAAATGTTGACTATGGTGTTTTGTGTTTTCAGAGTTTAATTTGTTCATAGTTTATTGTCATACCAAAGTTTTAAATTTTTGTCTAAAGAAATCTATCAATATTTCTTTTTTTGTTTTGTTTTTTGTCTTTAATGCCCTTCCCCACACCAATCTTATAAAATATTCACCATTTTTTCTAACATTTTAGTGGATTTATTTTTTTCATTTTAGCTTAAATAGTTCTATTAAGTGCACCATCATCAAGCAAGAGCATAAATTAAGTAAGGGCTAGTTATCACCATTCCACTCAGAATTGCCCTTAGCATCTTCTAGAATCCCGGGTAGGTGCCCCAGCCAGGTCCGGTTCAGGTGGCCCCTCATTCCTAGTCCATCTCAGTTTACCACCCTGGTCAGAGGCACCTCGGGACCCTAGATGGACAGAGGAACCTATGGAGGCTCAAAGGACAGTTCTTTCCTTCACAGAGGGAGACCTGCTTGGGATGTGCTCTGGTGTCTGGAAAACACCCTGATCTCCCTGGAAGCGTTTGGGTCTGGGCACAGGGCCAGTGGCCTTGGAACCAGGCCAGTTTGTGGAGTGCTGGTTCCCTGTTACCCTGTGCCCTGCCCATTTGTGGAGGCAGGCTTTGACCTGCCTCCACAGCACCCTGAGATTGCAGAGTGGGTGCCAGCCCCTCATACAGTACCTCACCCCTCATTATTATCTGTGTAAGTCAAAAGCACCCACTCCCCCATTGCCCAGCACAAGAAAGAGAGCTGGGTGCTTGGAGCCCAACTAAACCAGTTTACCTTGTCACCAAATATTAAAGCACTAGAGCCAAAAGAGTCCTACAGAGCACATCATTCCACACCATTGTTTGTTCAGATAAAAATCTGAGCCCCCAGATTGGGGTGATTACTGTCCATGGCAGAATCCAGACCCCCTGGTGGGTACTTTAGTGTTCTTCTCACTCGTCATTCATTAATAGCCCCTGCTGTGTACCAAGCACTATGGTGGGCTTTGGAAATTTTAATTGTCTAAAACTGACTTTACTGTCCTCTGAGAACTCTCTGGTTAGCTGGGAGACAGATGTAGAACAACTAATCATAGTTGGTATTATGGATGTATTAATAGAGGTATGTACAGAGTACTAGAGGAGTGCAAAGAAGGATGACTAATTCTGGAAGAAGGGGCAGGAGAGCCAGTGAGAACTTTCTGGAAGCGATGACATTTAGGCTGGACTTTGAAGGAAAGGGAGCTGTTTACTGTAAGAGCAAGACCACAGCAGCGGAAAACAGAAAGAAGCTGAAGAGCAATGAGTGTGTGGGCTGGAGAGTGGTTTGGTGGGTGATGGGGTGCAGGGTGCAGGGCACTTCCTCCACCCAATCCTGCAACCAACTGAGGCGTGTTCCCCACCCCTCCTTCCATGTCTTTGTGTGGAATACTGTCCTCCACACCCCTGCTCAGGCATTTCATCCCCCTTAACTCCCCGAGGGAATGAGGGTTTCTCCCTCCACTCTCACTTTGTACCACACACTTACCCCTAGGACAGCACCTTTCACATCAAATTCAGAGGTGAAGGTAGGAATTGGGTCTTTTAAAAATATATATTATAAAAGGTAAAACTGTGGAGACAATAAAAAGATACATGGTTGCCAGATGTGGAGCGGAGAGAGGGATGACTAGGCAGAGCACAGAGGACTTTAGGGCAGTGAAAATACTCTGTATGATACTATAATGATGGATATACATTATTAGACATTTGTCCGAACCCATAGGATGTACACCACCAAGAGTGAACCCTAAGGTACACTATGGACTTAGGATGGTTGTGATGTATCAGTTTAGGTTTATCCCTGGTAACAAATATACCACTCGGTGAATGATGTTCATAGTGGGGGAGGCTATGCATGTGTGGGGACAGGAGGCATATGGGAAATCTCTGTACCTTCCTCTTAATTTTGTTGTGAACCTAAAATGGCTCTAAAAAAATAAAGTCTTTAAAAATAAATACATGCATGCATACATAAAATACACGTTTGAGGTTGGGGAAGGAATTCAAACAGTATGGAAAGGTAGAAGTAAAAAAAAAATGTTTTTAATTTCTAAGCACCTAGCATCTCACGAGTGGTAAAGGACTTATTATCTTGAAAGGGATGGGAAGCCAGTGCAGATTTTTTTTTTTAAGCAGGAGAAAGAAAGGAATTTGGAGAAGGATAGATGAGGCAAGATGACCAGCTGGGAAACTATTCAGGGAAGAGGGGTCTGCATTTGGGAGGTAACCACGGCTGAGAGAGGAGAAGATGGAGGTGGAATGTTTAGGACTCACACACCAGTGGGCTATAGATGCGAAAGGAAGAAGAGAGGAAAAGATGATGACAACATTTCTGGTTTCTTTAAACTGTTGACCTGATTTTCCACCACAGATTCAATATGAAATTGTGTTAATCTAAAGCAGAAAAAGTTGGTTAGCCAAGTCCACACTTTTAAAGAGATCATGTGGAGAAGATACAACAACGTGATATACATCAAGAAGTTGTTCCTTTCCAGCAATGCAATAAAAAATGATCACTGTGTCTGATGGCAAAGATAATTTGCGTGACAATATCTCTTAAAGCTCCTCCCATCTCAGATTGAGGCAAGCTCTATAGAACCGCACCAGACCCAAGGAGGACCATAGAATAAGGCTGATGATACAGGGAGAGAGAGTTTACAGTTGGGAGAGTCGGGCCAGAGTATGTTTATCACTCTCTCAGGTGTGAGAAGAGCTGCAGTGAAGCCAGGCAGGCATTTCTAATGGATCCATGTCTTATCACCCAGAAGGCATTCCATGCCCAAGGGTCTGCATTTCCTAGGATCTCAGGTTCACCTCTCACACTCACTCTGGACTTCTGAACACAGTGGAAGCTCTCAATACCTGTGACTTGCTCAAGTGTGCAAAGGTTAGCATACATGTTTGCAGCAGACATTCCTGAGTAATGATTATATGCAAGGGATTGTAGTAGATGGGTTATGAGATACTGTGACATATAATATATAGACCTTACCCTCCCAGAGTTTACTGTCTATTCTGATTAAATGAGTCTTGAAAACATCCCTTCAAACGACCATGTTATTTATTTATTTACTTATTTATTTTTAAAATACCAAAAATGTGGAGGAGGTTTCTACGGGACTGTCAGTAATATGTTTTTCTAAATATACGAAAAGTATATTTTTGCACTTCAACTAATTTCTTTCTCTATGTCTCTCTCCTACTAGATAATTTTCAGGATCAGATGAAAAGGGAACTAGCCTACCGAGAAGAAATGGTGCAACAATTACAAATTGTAAGATGCATTTCTGCTTCAAAATAAATGTAACTGGATGGGCCTGTTTTTTCAAACCACCTAATGTGTATGATTTTTGCTGTGAAATCCTTTGGTCCACTTACTTCTCAGCTGGTTTAGATGCTAATTACCAAGAGATTTACTTAGACACAGGATAAACAGATGTGTCAGTACGTTTCCTCCGAATGTAACTACCTACCATGTGTTAATAGACAGATGTGTGAATTGTCTCTGTGGGCGAACCAGAGGTACCTGCGCTGTCTTCCACTGTGCAAACTTCCGAATGCAGTGCTGGAATGCACGAGAAGCTCAGGGAAAGGCAATTGTCTTCCATCTTCCCCCTCCCTTTACTACCCAGACCAGACCCAGGCTCTCCACTGTCAATAGAACTTAGTATAACACAATTAATCAATTAAATTTACTTGAAGGATGAAAAGAAAGGAATTATTTCCAAATGAAGTGTGTTACTCTATTCTAATCATGTCTAAAAGTGGCCGCTGACTCAGATCTATTTAGACAGAAACAGGAAAACAGGAAGATGTCTGATAAATAAATGTCAATTTTTTTGTTTTGTTTGTTTTTTTGTTTTGTTTTTTCTTCTGAACATATTCCTTGCCCTCCGGCCCCACACAGATATATCTGGTATTATTCGTGAGTGCTTTTAACCCAGTCTCTACACCTTTCTCATTGTGTTACTCATGTAATTACAATGGAGAAATTTCTGCTCAGTATTTGTGAGGTATTTTTAATCACCTGGATAAAGACATACACTGGTCTTCAGTATAACTCACAGCATGATTGTTATAGTTTGGGTCGCTCGGCATTTCTTCGGCATTTCTGAGCTGGTCTGTGTTATCCTTACACCATTAAGCTTGTATTTTTGCCTAGCCACCTGTCTTGTCTTAAGAGCCAGGTACCTAGCTCTCTGTCAGGACTCTTTAAGAAAGATGGTTATTAATGTTTCTTTTCTTGGTAGGAGAAATTATGCTTGTGTGAATAGAGATTGCTGAGAGTCATTTTTAAAGTAACCTTGTATTTTATGATGTTCCTCCCCATTCAGGGGGCTCTGTTAAAAGTGTTGCTTGTCATTCTAACCCTGAGGTTTTTCTCGATCTCCAGTGCTGATTCCTAATTCTCGGTTCTGAAAACCACCTCAACATAAGATGCCTCTTAAACAGGATCTTCTTCTTTTGGTTTAGTTTGTGTTCGTTTTGCTTGCACCTAAATTCACTGGAAAGCAAAAGGATTTTCTTAATCAGTGGACAACTAATTCCCCCCACGCAGAGGTTAAAAAAAAATGTATCTACTATTTTTAGCTTTTGATACCTAGATAATAAGAGCTACTAATTCCTTGCTATGAATATATTTGTTTTCTTTATCCAGAGGAAGAACTTAAATATTGAATTGGAGGTAAAGGGATATAAAATTTTAAGACCTTAATGGTTTTACTCAGGACATTGTTTTCAGACTCTTAAAACAAAAATTGTCACATATGCAACCAAAAATTTGTGATTTTGGGATGGTGGTGGGTCTAGCAAAATGGGCATTAAGAAAGGAAACTATTTCAGTGCCCCTGTCTAAGGCCAGTTAAGTAATTTCAATGTCTTAATTTTCTTTGACATTTGGTTTCTTTAGTAAAAGAGGAAATGATATTACATTCATGTAATAAGAAGGCAGTGCTGATAGAAGAAAAGAATGTCTCGTGTCTTTTGAGATATTTGGTACATGGAAGATACAAATTGGTATTACTAAACATTTTTATGATTCTGTATTGCAAAATGTTTTGTCATATGTATTTGTTTATCTGGACAAGTGTTATCCATTCACCTTCCACTAGATAGTAAATTATTTCTGGTTGCCAATTAAATTCTTTGGGAGAAGCTAGAATTTTTTCTCCCAGCCCTATAGGTATAATTCCTGAAACCCACAAAGACACATCCAGGCTAACAACATAAAAATTGATGAAATAGACATGATTTGTCCCTCCTGTTTCTTCTCCTTCTTTTGTTTCCCCTACCAAGAGTTTTCTTGCTGCCACCAGTACCCAGCATGGTGTCTAGCATCCAACAGCGATCAGTAAACGTTTGTTGAGTGAATCACCACCCACGGATAGCCCCTGCCCCAAATCTGATATTCTCACATAGCAGTCCTCTTAATATTTTTCCAAATGTCCCTGGTTTGGTCCTGATTTCCTTAAATGTTCTTTTCTGCTAGGTAACTACTACCAAAAATACTAAAGGAAGGTATTACTATTGAGTTACGTGGAGCTTGTGTATTACTGCACTGGCCTTGCGACTAACAGACAAGCTTTAAAATCTGCAAACTTGAGTTCAAGACTCACCCCATATAGTTCATTAAGTTTCTGTTCTTCAACCAAAGGGACCTCTTGGAAGGTCTAACCTAGTGCCTGATAGAGATATAGTAAGGTGTAAATGTGTAATAAACATGAAATGCCCATGCAAGTCATAAAATACTATGCCAAAATGAGTAATTGATGGAATGGCATGCCCCTTCTCAAAGTAGTACTTTAATAGTGGAAATATTTAAGCTTTGGTGGCTGGAGATATTTTTGTGCAGGAAGAACCTGTGTTTACATTATACTATCTGTTTTAGAATTGAGGCAGCAGACTCAAGGTTACTTGAACAGAAATTTGTTAGTCCCTATTCAGCTTGTTTTATTTGCTAATGGGAATTATCTGCTGTGGGAAAATGTCTTTAGAAAATGATATCTAAAGAGTATCAAGAAGTTGCCAGGTATCACAATTACCAACTTTCTCAGTATTTTTAGTTGAGTGATCTAATTCATCAGTAAATATGGTTATATACTTTGCTCCCTGAGAACCAAGCAATTCACTTAAAATTATTTTATTATTTTATATTTAAAGTTTACAGAGAATACATTACAGAATAGTCATCTGCCTACAGTATAGGCACTTTTTCCTTTAGCTGAAATAAAAACCCACTCTATCCTGCAATAATGGAGAATTCAAATATATTAAAACCATCATATTTTGAAACGATTCCCATAGACCAACAATGCATTTATACTATGCTGTTACACAGTGTTCTTATTCAAAAGATTATATTGAAAGCATCTTGGGTCTCATTGACGTAGAAAGAAAACTTATGAATTTCTTTGGCTCCTGCATTTTTAGATTCTCTGCTGACTATAATTTCTGCACCATTGCTTCCTTTTCCAGTTTGTTAAATGCGAAGTTGTGGTGACTACAGAGACAAATGATTGACTCTCTTTGTACATTTATAAATGAATGTGCATGTATCTCAATGTCACATTTAAAGCATATGCAGTTTATTTAACATGTATACATGACCACAAGCTAACTTTTTTAAAAAAAATAGCTTAAATTAGTTTTAGAGTTCTTAACACAGTTTGTGTTAAAGTGCCTCCCGCCCCCGCCCTGTCCTGCGTTTGCAAATTCTTAAAATGTTTTCATTACTAAACCAGATTTATTTATACCAGCAAAGAAATGTATTCCTCTCGCTATGAACCAAATTAAAAAGTTATAGAATTTAGCAAGTTCGTGATGATGTTACTGTTCAATGTACTAAAGAGCCACAGATTTCTCACAAGTGAATTGGGATTCTAGAAAAATTGTGTCCCCTTTTAAAAGCAAAATTCATCACCCCTTAGGTTTAAGAAAAAGGTGAAGAAATGAATACGATGTTATATGTCAATTATATTTCAATTTTTTTATTAAAAAAGAAGGTAAAGATATTTTACTCTGTTTAACCTTTGATTAAAGTTTTCCAAGGACTGGAATATGATATAATTTACAACATGAGCTGAGACTGTTGTGATGTCTTGATAACCTTTTTTTTTCATTGCTAATTTGACAGCAGAGTTTTTAAGTGAGTGCATTTCTGTGTAAGGTACTACTGCAGGTATAAGATATAGACCTTACCCTCTCAGAATTGAGGACATGCTCTGTTTCGGTTATAGTTCTTGATGGACATGCTGCAACAGAGCCCATGATAAATGGCTAGGCTCAGATTCACATCCTTTGAACTTGCTACATCGCTACCTGGAGGTGCATAGATGGAGCAAATGTGCTAGTCTTGAAGTGCCCTCTGCTGTTTTTCCAGAATGCTGCAGTCACAAGCAATCAGGGGGAAAGGGTCTCAAAGTTCTCCATTAAAAGAGCCTCAAAAAAAAAAAAAAGCCTCAAGTAAAACAATGTTCAATCAATAGTTTTAGTACTAATGTTCCATTCATTGTAGACTTGTAAAAAAGCAGTTTACAACTTCCTGCTGGCAGGAGCACAGCGCGTCCTTGCAGGGAAAGGAGCGCTAAGTCTTACCGTTGCTGCAGGAGCATGCTCATCTCTGGAAAGGGCAAGCTCTTCAGTGACATGGTCTTTTCTTGGAGATTCCCCAGTGTTCGTTAGGATGGGAACTTGCCCAGATTTCTATCATTTCAACGCAGAGAATTTTTTTTTAAATTTTTTTTTTTTAGCTGAGCCAACCTGCCACTTGTTAGCAGCTCAGCTCAACCAGGACTCCAACCGCTGTTGCTTAGAGCACACACTCTTGAGTGAGCTCTTAACCAACTGAGCCACTTGGTCGGCCTTCAATGCAGAGAATTTTAAAAATATGTTTTACATTTTTTTAAAGTAGGTAGAATAGTTGCTTTTTTGCACTATGTTATTAGAAAACATCCTTGGGCCACTAGAGGATTTTGGTTTTGTGGCTAAATATGCAACAAAAGGATGTCCCTGTGAGTCTGAACTGCCATGGAATCTGCCTTAAGATTCTCCAGCAGTAGACAGACTTTGGCTACAGTGGGTTCTTTTCTAATTATTGATGTATTGCCATTTGGACAATGCAGTCATTTGTTCCTTAGTTATATAGCCTCCTCTCATCTTTCTCCTTTCAAGATGTTGACCCACTTGAATGTCTGAGCTCAGACCAACTCTCTCGGCACAAACTAAGAAGTTATCTTATTTTGGTAAGACCCCAACACTTTTGATAGACTAGAGCTAAGTAGGTAATTTAGAAGTTATATAATAACTTCAATGAAATCAATGAAATAGGGTAGCTTTCATTAACAGTGGGCCCATTTGCTAATATAGTCTTTATCATTCATGATTTAGGACTTAGAATTAAAAATAACATGATTTTTAGTTCATAACCTTTTGCTTTTTTTGTCTTTGTTTTTTTTGTTTCTTTGTTTTGCCTCACCCTCCTCCCCTTTTGTCTTTGTTTTTGTTCAGCTTTTATTTCACTTTGTTTTAATGAAAGAAATGAAACAATCAATGTTTGAGTGGGGATCATTCTTTACACAGATTTAAATTCCAGTCTGGAGATTTGGGGTCAAGTTTGGTTATTTGGAAATGTCCTTTTTTTTCTGAGTCCTTTTTTCTTTTCATTCTCAGCTTCCCATCTTAATGAAATGCTACATTGTTGTTTCTGAAAAAAAGAAAAAGAAAAAAAGGAAGGATGAAAAAGGCATTCTGACTTAGAGCTGAAAATAGTACCCCTCAGGCGTTTTCTGTGGGTGAGGATGAGTAGTTTAGTGGCTTTGATGAGATGGCCCATGGTGATGTTAACTTACCTCAAGAAGTACCTGGCATACAGCAGACACTCAATCTTTCTTTATTTTATTTTTTTTACTTTATTGGGGAACAGTGTTTTTTTCCAGGACCCATCAGCTCCAAGTCAAGTAGTTGTTTCATTCTAGTTGTAGAGGGCGCAACTCAGTGGCCCATGTGGGGATCGAACCAGCAACTTTGGTGTTGTGAGCACTGTGCTCTAGCCAACTGAGCTAAGCGGCCACCCCTACTCAATCTTTATGACATCTAATCTTGATGTTGAGACCTCTTTCTAAATGTGAGATTGGCACAAGTATATTCTATTAGGTAGTTCCTCATACCGCCAAGGTTTACATTGTTTCTACTTGTTATCCTAAACAATATAATCCTTTCAAGTCTCTGTTAGGTCATGCATCTAAAGAGAGAGGCCATCCATGGGTTTTGGCACATTGCAGCATGCGCCATAATGGAAAATCAAGATTCATTGCTTCTCTGTGAATAGCAGGTGTAGCATAACCCAGAGTGGAAAGAAGAGGTAACTAGAGTAGGTCCCCCTGTAACTGTTCTTGTCATAGTTATCCAGCTGATCTCAGCTCACGTCCTAAAATGTGAGATTAGGACACTGAACTTTTTATGGTAGTATATGAATCATTCATTTCAGTGCTGCTGTCCATGCCCTTTATCAGCTATGTGCCTATTGGATCCATCCATGTTGTGGTTATGTATCAAAATTGTGAGGTGGTTATTTTAGTCTTGTTCTTCGTTTTCCATTAAAAAGACTGTTTGATTTAACTTACCAATTATTACGGCAAAATATGCAGCTAATCTTGGCCACTAATGTCGTTGTATATTCGTCGCTCCTTCCCATTAATAAAAGTTCATATTTATGGACTGGTAGATCAGGAGAGCAAAACAAATATGCTGGGAATAAGGGGAATGTATATAACAGTATTCAAAAATATTGCCTAGTTGAATGACAATAATTTTATTTCCCTCATTGCTTTTACATGACAGCTGAATTTTGTGTTAACCTGCTAGAAGGCTGAATACTTACTTAAGTGTAAAATAGATTCGAATCTTTAGAGTTCTGAGTTTACCTTGTAATGATGATGATAAGTAACATAATGATAGATTACTTTAACTGGGGTTAGTGCAGAGGCAAATCTAAATAATACATGTTGTCCAGTTTCAACCATTTGCATTTTCTAATGAAAAGCCGCATATCAAATGTGATAGGCTTGCATTCAACACCCCAGTAGTGAAAAGTACTTTTCGAGTTTATCCGGGTAGAGTTCTTTTTATCCAGGGTCATATTTTCCATTCAGTGCAATTATTTCTGATGCTTCTTGGTAGTTATCGGGAAATTACCCAGAGTAATAGTTTGTGTTTAGTTACTCTTATTTGCGATTTATAATGATAGCATATTTCATCACTCTAATTAAATGAAAGATTACATTGAATTCGTTTGTAATCACATTCTTGTTTTGTGACCTTGGATATACATGATTACATCATAACTTAGTTTTTGTACCTAAATAAAAACTAAAGATACCATATTATTAAATGCAAATTAAAAAAAAAGTTTTTAAAGGAAAATGTCACATAGTAACCTCAGAGACTAGCTGTAGCAACAATCCGGTGTGATCACCTGTTCTGTCCTTGACATGCTTTTTAACAGGCCTTAAGAATTGTTATACCCCAGAAGTTCCATACTGCTGAGCAGATGGAGACCTTTTCTCCTCAGGGAGGATCCATTGGCATTCAAATTGTTAGGCATGATGAAAGCTCTCCATTACACATCTGTCTCCAAATTGAGCTTACCTGGAGAGTTTTGCTCCTTTTTATCTTACAGATCCCCTATGCAGCAAGCTTGATCAGGAAAGAAAAGCTTGGTGCCCATCTCAGCAAAAGCTAAAAGGTGAGTTCACCGGAGGAAAGATTTTTCCTTGACTCTCTGAATTGCTATTGCATGGCTGTGCTCTTTATTGATGTATTTGAAACAGCCCAATGGATTGGTAAAGTTGCGTCCTGTGTTTAAGCCCATATACTGATAAACTTTGTTATATCCAGGCATGGGACTTCCTAAATGAACGGCTAAGTGGGTCTTATAAATTCCATAGAAAATTTCTTAAACTAAGGAAATTCTCTATTCAGTCTGCAGACGTGATCTTCATTCTGTTTTGAGGTTTTCTGCTCTTTCTGGTTCTACCCGATACCCCAATTACTGCCTTTCTGAAGGAAACTGAAGTGTCAGCAGTCATGCTTATTGTGTCTCGTCTTCTTGGGCTCTCTTTTGCCTCCAAAAAGTCTTCCCAAAATCTGACTTTGAGTGAATTACTAACAGATGGTGATATGAACAATTAGGGGCAATATAGACCTTTGAGAACTTCTGTTCTAGGGATAGTAATTTATTATTTCCCTAAACCAATAGCAGTTTCTCTATAGCTAAAGCCAGGTTCAAGGTCACATCCATGGCAGCAATTAAAAAAAAAAGTATTCTGGACTCCTAAGGAAAAGAAGACAGTCAGAATTCAATGCCTATATTCAGAACATAACTAAACATTTCAAAAGCAACTTTTTGATTATTTGGAAGAGACATATATAATTATTAAAATTGAAGGAGTGCAAATTCTAGGACTTTGTAGTTTCTGTAACAATACATTAGGATGACCTAACAGTTGAAATTGCTATGTCAGGAAAAAACTCAGATGTCAGAGGTAGCATTTGTAAGTGTTCATGGTCAACTAGGATTGTGATCATTTATCAGTTGGATCCATTAGAATGATTCTTCCCACTTCTTCCCTCTGGAACATATTTTTAACTCAACAGAATTTATTGGCAAAAAGAATTCCATACAATACAGGTGCTTAGTTCCTTTTCTTCATGCTTTTCTTATGTATATCAAAAGCCTCCTCTACCATGTGCAAATGACAAGCCTACTTTTTGCCATCATCTTTATTAGTGATAATCTTCAGTATTTGTCTTAAATCATGTTAATTACATCACATTTCATCAGGAGCTCAAAACTCTTTCCAAGACAGACTCTCATTCATATACTGTCTCTTAATTTTATGCACAGGGAACTGAGATGCAGAGAAGAGAGATGGGGTGTTTTATGCCTGTGTTGCAAAGCCAGGAAGAGATTGTAGGGCTCCTGACTTTAGATCCAGTTCCTACTTGCTCCTGATGAATGCACTTCCTGTCTTCTGTGAGCAGATGTTTCTGCAGCAGAGATGGTCAAATAATAAATTATTTTGTTTCCATCTCCATAGAGCCATATGCAAATGGGCCTGTGAGTTTGGCTCCATTCTGTAGATTCAAGTATTTTTCTTAAGTCTGAAGTTGACTTTGGGTATTTTTTCATTATAGTAGAGAGGTTTGTACCACCAGTGTGAAATGAATAATTTTACAACACTCATACTCCAGTAAATCTTAACTCAGGATATCAAGGTAATCAAGGCAACCCACATTCAAATTAATGCTAATAAACGCAAAGTGTCAAACTAATTTTCTTTCAAATCCAAGAGAATATATTAGGATGTTTTTGTTAATAACCTTTTATTGAAGTATTAATATAACAAATTCAGCAAAGTCTAACAAATGATAAAGTCATATAAGTCATACAAATCTTGAAGTCTACAAATTAAAACTCAATGAATTTTCACCAAATGAACTCAGGCTTCCAGCACTCAGATAGCCACCTTGTATCCCTGCCCAGTTACTCCCCCACCCCCAATAAAGATTAGCTTTGCCTGCTTCTAAACTTTAGTAAAGGACGTTGTATAGAATGTTCTCTTTTATCTGGCTTCTTTTGCTCCATATTTGTGAGATGCATCCACTAGAATATAGTTTGATTTGTACTTAGGAACTTCAGTAAACTCTGTTTTTACTCCTTCCATTTCCCCAACTCATCATCCTTCCTTGCTTGTCAGACACGAGCGGCTCTTACACCTACAAAATGAAGATTTACTGTGCAGAAACCATGCCTCTGATGGTGACATAGCATACAGCTAGGTGGAAAAAAAAAGATTGATTTGTGTTGAGTAACTAATGCTTCCTCCATGCTGATTTTGTTTCCATCCTCGCAGACAACAGGGATTTCTCTAAGTAGACCCTGGTGCTTTCAGAAGATTAGTGGTTACTTAAATGCTGAGCTAAATCAGCCAAGCAGAGAATCACGACCATATTGTTAGAGGCAGTATTTGATTCTCAACATGCCAAGCCTGCAAGGAATTACCCCAAGAGAGATTACAAAATAAAAATCATTACACCAAGGGAGAGAGACAAATTCTGTCTTGCTGAGTGACCACAGGTTTCCAAATTAGGGACTGATGCATTAATATCTTATGCAAGAGTGACCCTTAAGGTAGTATGCTGTGTTCTTGCCACCCAGTGGATTCCAATATGACTATTAAGAGGAGGAAGCTTTTCAAAACCACAGGCAATCCACTTAATAAGCTAAACAAGTACCGCCACATGTCACTGCTCTACAAATCTTTTTTTGCCGTACATTAGGACGTAAGAAATTCCATGTTGAGTCAAAATAAAGGTCCACTCAGACCAGATTACTAACTGTGTAATTCCATTAGAAAAACCAAATTGTTCTTAATGAAACCAACCTCAAAATTTAGGCATATATGCTGAATACTCTTAACTTTCCCTTGATGACTCCTTAAAGACCCATTACCCATGGATTTATCTTCAACCTAGGCATAGTCCCCTTTGGGGCAATGAATTCTATTTGTTTAGCTACCAGCTGTGTAAAGTATTTTATTTATCCTCAAACTATCTCCTAAAACAAGTCCTAGGTGATTAGACATTCTACTGCTCTGTGTATTTGTTTCATTGTGAGCTCACGCATACAATGGAGATTATTTAAAAATATTTCAAAATTTTGTATTCTTCTTTCATCTGGGACCACTTTTCCCACCATAATTATTCCTGATGGTCTTCCTTATCTTGGTGGTTTCTGTGTCTTACACAGACACCCCAGTGCAGTCAGCACCTCAAATATAAATGCCATGATGTTAACGCTGATTTAATTCTGACTTTACTTTCTTTTTCTTACAAGCACCATTTAACATTATGCAAATATCACCCATGTACCTGGTTGAAACACCCATGTCTTACACAGAGAATTCAATCATTGTATATCCGTGGAAAGTGAATCACAGGAAATAGCTCATTCATAGTCACACAAACTCATTGACCAAGCTGGAAATAATAATATCTTTCATTTACTGAGCACTAACTATGCCAGGTAGTAGACTAAATTCTGTGCCACATTATCTCTTTGGAGCCTTACAATTCTATAAAGTAGATCCTGTTATTGTCCCTATTTCATACATGAGAACACTGAGGCTCAGTGAGGTCACTCAGCTATATACGTCTCAAAGCCGGAATTCAATCCAGGTCTGTTTGACTCGCAAGCTACTTCTCTGTCTTACTGGAATCACTGGGCTGGTTTTGAGCAAGTCTGGCTTCTAAATTTGATACTACCTCCCTATGTTATCATTTAATCTCTCTGAGTCGTAAGCTTACCTGTAAAATGTGGATAGCCAAACCTGATCAAAATCTCTGCCAGCTTTAAGTTTTGGACTCTTGCATGCCAATCTTCTGCCATATTCCCTCTCCTTTCCCACAAAGGGGCTGCTTTGATTAAAGTCTGCTCAAGACCACATATAACACTCAAGGGCAGACCCACCTGCATTTGCCTTATGTCTGCATTTTCTTCATCACTAATTACTGCGTTGCATCCTTCTGGAGAGTTTGAAAATATGACTTTTCCCCCCTATGCTAACAAAATCTATTTTTTTTGGTAAACTCTTGTTATTTTTATTTGACTTCTGGAATAATTTGTACAGAAATAACAACAAAGAAAAAGTCTTAAAAGGATGTAGAGGGATTGCAGTTGAACATTCTGTGACTTCCTTTTGTGTAGATCAAAGCTAAAGATGGAGAATGGCATATCCATTTCTCTCATCTGCAGTCAGACATAAGAGGACCAGGTTCTTTCAAGGGTCTCTATTGAGAATGACAATATGTGCGCCCACTGTTCTAAGCACTTTATGTCTATTATCTTACTCAATCTTCAAAACAACCCATGGAGAGAATTACTGCTACTTTCACCATTCTTCTGCTGAGAAAACTGAAATGCAGAGAGATGAGTAAGCTGTCTGTGGTCCCACTGCTAGCAAGTGGTGGCAGGATTTGCGGCCCACACTTCATCTGCTCGCCTCTGATGTATAGCCTGAAATTGTGGCCTAATTCACATATTCTAATATCAGTTACTATTACGCAGTTAATAACCAATCCAAGGGTTTTTTTTTGATGTTGAATCACAGAACTTTCAGGGCTACTTCTACAGTTGTCGTAACTCCCCAGGACTGGAGCAATAGATGTAACTTGGGTCGTCCAGCCAACGCCAGCAGGGCACTGGAGCATGACATTTTGTCTTCATTTTGTGCAACAACAAATCAGAGCTTCCAGAACCTCCCCTCCCCCCGCCAGTGGCTTCACTGTAAAGTGGGCAGAGCAAACCATCACACCCTGACTTAGTTCTGGTTTGGCTCAACGTCAGTGGAGATGCATAACCTAAGATAGACAAATATGTGTAAAAAGGAAGATGATTGCATGGTCACTGTGGAAAAGTTTTTATCCAAACTGTACTACGAATGGCTTCTCTTAAGGATATACTAAATATTACTTTAAATGTATTTAGATTATCTGATTATATCACGCTGAGGTTGTCATTCTGTGCTTTTTTTTTTTTTTGTCTTATCCCAGGTGCACAGAACGCTTACTCTTGTTCTCTTGTAAGATACAGCCTGCCACTGAGCACTTCTGACCCACATA